ATGCAGAACAGGGAGTGAACTCAGACTTTCAGATCTCCGCCGACGGATTGATTCGTTTCAAGGACAGAATGTGTGTCCCAGACGACAATGAATTAAAAAGAGACATCATGACAGAGTCCCATAGTTCAAGGTTCGCCATGCATCCAGGAAGTACAAAAATGTACCAAACTATGCGACCCCGATTCTGGTGGAATGGGATGAAGAGAGATATAGCCGACTTTGTATCTAAGTGCTTGGTATGTCAGCAGGTCAAAGCAGAACATCAACGCCCAGGGGGGTTGCTTCAGCCTTTACCGATTCCAGAATGGAAGTGGGAACACATCACCATGGACTTCGTATCGGGACTACCCAAGGCACGATCGGGACACGATGCCATATGGGTAATTGTTGATCGACTCACTAAGTCTTCCCACTTCCTGGCCATCAGAATGACTGATTCGTTGGACAAGTTGGCAAGAATGTATGTCCGGGAAATAGTCAGACTGCATGGGGTCCCGGTAACAGTGGTGTCCGACAGGGATCCCAGATTCACTTCTCGGTTCTGGAATAGTTTCCAGCAAGCTATGGGAACAAAGCTGTCCCTTAGTACTGCCTTCCACCCCCAAACCGATGGACAATCAGAGAGGACAATCCGTACGCTGGAGGATATGCTCCGAGCTTGTGTCCTTGACTCCGGAGGCCATTGGGACGACCACCTACCCCTGATAGAGTTTGCCTACAACAACAGTTACCAAGCAAGCATCGGCATGGCCCCATACGAGGCGCTATACGGGCGTCCGTGCAGGTCACCGATTTGTTGGGAGGAAGTGGGTGATAGAAGATTGTTTGGCCCGGATTTGGTGGAAGAAACCACGTCCAAGATAGTTAAGATCAAGAAGAACATCCAGACAGCTCAGAGTAGGCAAAAGAGCTATGCTGATACCCGGAGGAGAGACCTGGCCTTTGAGAAAGGTGACCGTGTGTTTCTTAAAGTCACCCCCTTCAAGGGAATTAGTAGGTTCGGCAGAAGGGGAAAATTAAACCCCAGATACATTGGACCCTTTGAAATCTTAGATAAGATTGGTACCACTGCCTACAGACTTGCACTGCCCCCTGAGCTCTCCCGGGTCCACAATGTGTTTCATGTATCCATGCTGCGCAAGTACAATCCGGACCCTTCTCATGTCGTGGCTCATGAACCACTTTCACTCCGAGAGGACTTGTCTTATGAAGAAGTACCGGTCAGTATCACAGACCGAGAAAGCAGAATACTCCGTAACCGGGAAATATCATTTGTAAAAGTCTTGTGGCAGAACCACACACCTAGGGAGGCGACTTGGGAGCTGGAATCAGAATTTAGGGCCCAATATCCTCATCTGTTTGATCAAGAGTAATGAGGCAAATTTGGGGACCAAATTTCTTTATGGGGGGGAGAGTTGTAGCACCCGGAAAGGAGGAGGAAAAAAAAAAAAAAAAAAAAAAAAAAAAAAAAAAAAAAAAAAAGGGGGGGGCCACGTCAGCAGCCGCGTCAGCAGCCACGTCAGCAGTCCCGGCCAACCAGGGCCTGCCACGTGGCAAGATCGCGTCACTCCGAAAGGAGCCACGTTGGCGATCCGCGTGGGTGCGATCCGACGGCCCAGATCAATCACGCGATCGGACGGCCCAGATTCAATCGCACGGACGGCCCAGATTCAATCAAAAACGAACGGCCCAGATTAAAACAAAATGAACGGCTGTGATCAAAAGGCAAGGGGTTATAAATAGAACCCCCACACCAGACCACAAACCCTAGCCGCCAGCCGCTCGCCGGAGAAGACGAACCAGAGGCCGACCGCCGCCACCCGCCGCCGCTCGCTGCCGCACCGGGGAAATTTCCGACCGCCGATCGAGGTAAATTTCATACCCCCGACTCGTTTTTCCCCACTGATTCCTCCTATGGCCAAATCGAAGCCGAAATCCCGGCCAAACGGCCGGAATACGCGGCCGAAGCCCAGCGGCGCCGCCGCGCCCCCTCTCGGTTTTTGCCTCCGACGAGGCCCTTCCCGGCCTCCGTTCGATGCAATTTTTATATCACCGTGATCACCTTTCTTTTCTCTACAGGTTGACCGGAGCCGAATCACCAAAACACGAACCTCGCCGGAGAGCCGCTGCACCCGAGAGCGCCGCCACCGGTAAGCTCCGTTTTTCCGTGATTTTTTGGCCCCCCGAGGGCCCTAGGGTTGTTTTCTGACAAGGACCAATGCGAGTGTGGCCGAATTCGGCCGGAAACGGCCGAAAACAGTCAACCCGAGGCGACTCGCCGCCGCCGTGCCGGAGTTGCGATTTGGGCCGAAAGAGGCCCTGGGCTTAATTTGGAATTTTTTTTGGAACACGTGCAGGTACTGTTAGTGTGTTTCAGTTCTCCGAGAAAAATTCAGGGAAAATTAGGGAAGGCCTGCAGGCGCACTGTGAATCGTATTCGGATCTCGAAAACAAGTAAGGACCCCTCACCCTATTTCCTATCACGGTATTAAAGTTCAAAATGATAAAACGGTATTTCTTGAATTAACGCATGTGTGAAATTGCTTAAGGTTGCTAATGGAGCCCGAGTCTAGTGTGATAGATGATTTACTGTTATTTGGCCTGTTTTACAGCTTTAAATGCATTATGGGGTTTGATGTGTTCATTTTATAGTTTCGAATGCATATATTACTGTTTTATTAATTATGGGTTGAATGACTGAAGAACTGATACTGTATGTTGTCTGTTCGGCATGAATTACGATTTGCTTGTTTAAATGTGAATTGATGATGCTTATTGAGGAAAAAGGGAAATGAAAGATTGTATAGACTGATAATTGTATTATGGGGGTCAGCCTGACTAGATATCCTGGGAGATGGTGGACGGACCGGGTCCGTAGGGAACCCTACCGGGATTGTGGTCTCACATGCCGGACGGGGTATGGAGATCTTATGGTTTAGGCGCCCATACCGGACGGGGTATGGGGACGGCCCGTTTCACCCTCATACCGGACGGGGTATTGAGGTTTATGGTTTTGGCGCCCATACCGGACGGGGTATGGGGACGGCCCGTTTCACCCTCATACCGGACGGGGTATTGAGGTTCATGGTTTTGGCGCCCATACCGGACGGGGTATGGGGACGGCCCTGGAAACTGATTATGAATGTTAAAGGTTAACGGGTAGCGGAACCCCTATGGACCCCCACGGATACTAGTAGGCTGGTAAATGAGAAAAAGATATGTTGTACAATGATTGAAATTTCAAGGGGCGTGATAAGTGTTATGTTTTACAGTTTATATTATTCAATGATTATGATAATGTTATTGTTTTTCTTATATTGTTTTCATAAATTCCACCGAGGTAAGTGGAGGGTAAAGGTTTTCATGTTAATAAACGAGTTTATTGTAAATTATGCTCCATTGGTCTTTTGTGTTTTTCTACCCACCTTTACCTCCGTGACGGTGAGATATCGTGATGTTCTTACTGGGCTAGTGTAGCTCACTCCTTATTTAACCATTTCAGATCAGGAAGACATGGTTCCCGAGCCCGTTCCGCAGGAGGACGACGAAGGGGATGCCTAGAGACTCTGTAGTCATACTCATAGTTTTATTTTCGAGTTTCTCTCTTAGTTAGTTTAATCTTTTGTATTTTAAGTACGTTTTTGGTTTTTTCGTGTAAGGGATGTTAACTGAAATTTTGATCTCGCTTCCGCATTTGATATATTTAAATACTCATTTCATTTTAATATTTCCGGGGCCGTTACATACAATCCTACTGATATATGTAGATGATGTAATTGTCACAGGTAATGATGAAGGAGAGAAGATGGTCCTCAAACAATGCCTAGCTAAGGAATTTGAAATTAAAGAGTTTGAAAGATTAAAATACTTTCTCGGAATAGAGGTGGCCTATTTTTAAGTCCAGTATATTTATATCTCAACAAAAATACATTCTACATCTTTTGAACAAAAATAGCAAGCTAGCATGCAAATCTGCCAATACACTAATTAATCTCAATCACATATTGGGACTTGTAGAGGAAGAATCCGAGGTGAAGAAGGAAATGTATCAAAAGCTACTGGAAAAGTTAATATACTTATCACATACAAAGCCAGACATTGCATTTGCAATAAGTGTAGTGAATCAATTCATACACAGACCCAAGAAAGTATATTTGCAAGTCGCTTATAAGATACTTCACTAAAAGGTACTTGAGAAAAAGGAATTATGTTCAAGAAAAACAATAGACTGCTCCTAGAAACATAGATTCATATTGAATAAACAAGTTCATTAATTGATAGGAGGTTTGCATCTCAATTTGTTTTTTTTTTTTTAAATAAGGTCTACATCTTGAACTGCACATTTTTCAAAGGAACACTAGTTACTTCAAAGAAATAAAAAGCAAAATGTCGTATCCCAATCTAGTACCGAGTCAAAGTTTTAGGTTATGACCAAAATGATGTGTGAACTACTATGGTAAAAGATGATTTTGGAAGACTTGAAAATTCAGAAAATAGACCTATGAGACTCTATTGTGATATAAGTCAACAATTAATATTACTTACAATCTTATATAACATGATAGGACAAAATATATTGAAGTTGATCAACATTATTAGGAAAAATCTGAACAGCGTATTGATATACACATCATACATGTCCACTAAACTACAACTTGCGAATGTATTGACCAAGTAATTAAGTAATTCTGGGTTTCAAACTATTATTGAAAAGCTATGAATGGATAATATTTATTCATTAGTTTGAATGGAAGTGTTAGAAAGTGTACTGGTTGGAAAATGTAATTGTATGTTAAGTAGGGTAAAGGATATATTAGTAATACACTCCTCCTCTCATAAAATTAATAATGTTTCCTTTTATTGTCCATAGAAACCTATATCTATAGAATTCTATTATTCAACAAAATTCATACTTCATTCTCCACACTTCAATAGTCCTTTATAATACCGTCTTGAGAGAAAATCCTTTAGAATATAAAATTTTAGAAAGAACAATGCAATTAAGAATCATCATGATTCGTGAAGGTAGCAAATGCTATTTTTAAAACATTAAAAAGTTTATCTTAAAACATATCAAGAAAATAAATAAAGAACTTAACAAGTTTACAGACAAACCGGAATGGATGCTCAGACGTGTAAAACTCTGGCTTATTTGCTTTAGCAATCACAACATCAAAAAGGTCCCTCCACGAGTCCCTGTCACCCATGGACTCCTAATGAACAAGTACAAACTATCTTAGAAACATGACCATCATTAACACAATACTTGATATTTTTTTTAAGATTAAAATTTAATGACAATAACCCAAAAGAAAAATCACAAATGCTATTCAAACTGATGATAAAATAACTAAGAGGAAGTAAAGCCACAATCTGGAAGCATGAAATTAGCACTTCATAGAAGGATGTTCAGATCTGAAGTTGAGGATGAAGCGATGACCATTTAACTCTCCAGCAACCGATCTCCAAAACAATTTAAATGTACATTTGTGCAATTGTGTTTTTCCTACCAACCCTCAGACCTCTGATCTTAAATGAGAATTGCTTCCCAAAATAATTTCCATTGGACTTGCAATAAATTTCCAGCATCATTTCCAAGAAATTTGTAATTCATAATATAGAAGGCCCTAGGAAGCATAAGCCTTCAAAGAATTCAGGGACTTCAATCGCATTATGTAACCATATTTTCATTGTTGCTGCCTTTAGATCACTGTCATTTCACATTGAAGATCAAAGATATTGAGGTACTAGAAATGACAGCATACCGTATAATTCCAAGAACAAACATGCAGGCAGACAAACAAAGAGTGGAACACTTATTGTCTTTTCTTCCTGTCTCAACACAGTTACGTATTCTAACTGATGAGAAAGACAATAGACTTATCATTCCAGCAGATACGATTCAAGCCTTGGTAGCAGCTAATTCATGCAAGAGAACTAACTGGAAGAAATATATGTGCAACCACCTCTCCCAAAACCTGATTTAGCAGAACACTGAGGATGCACAATAACCATCAGACAAACACACACAATGAGACACACATATATATGAATTAGAAGAGCCTCCAATGCATTATGAAAAATAACAGTTCACATATGATATAATCTAGGAAACCACGTACAAATATAAAATTCTTTTTACAAAGAAAAGGAGGTGCCAACTAAACACATAATAACAATGGAAGAACACTGATAATCTATACTTTCAAGGTTAGAAAAAAATATTCCTGTCTTATACAAGGTTCTAAAAGGAGAAAATAGACCAAACTGGCACGTATAAGCAAATAGGAACAAGATATCAACTAGAATAGTCTAGAAATTTCCAAATTCAACAGAAGATATCAATAGAGAAGGGTTATGATGGCATTCCCAGGCAATTTAATTACCTCCATTATAAAGCGCATTCCTCCATCCACAAAATTATGTGGGGAGTTAGTCAGTAAGAAAAGTTTCTTCCCTTTCTCCCTTAACATTCTGAGAAATCGTAAAAGCTGACCCTGGCAAATAAATATACCTAAGGTCAAGCCAAAATTTTTCATTTGGTGAAGGAGATTGATGCTGAACAGAATTTAAAGCCACTCATAGAACAAATTTGCAAAAAGTTAAGACTCACATTTTTAACTAGGTACCTATGAGGGTCAGAAAGAATTCCCCTGTGAACCAAGCCACTGCGATGAACATGCTGAATTGCATGATTGACATCTTGGTAAATGTAGCAGGAATCAAACTCCAGCTTAGCATCAACAAAATATTGCACCATGTCCGCAATTAGACATGACTGCAAAGCAAAAATGAATACATGCCATCATGACATTGAAGCAAATAAGGAATATAGCCATGCAATATGGAAACCTAAAATAACTCAAGGAAGAAAGAAGGAGAGGCATACTGGCCCATCGAGAAGATCATGAACTCAAATCTCAAGAGGTAGGACATCAGTTTAGTGGCATTTTGTTCTCATCCTTAACAATGAGCAAGTATGTTTTTCACTTAAACTCTTTTCTTTGTATCCATCTTACATTCCTAAAATTTTATTAACGGTTCATGTGGTCTGTAAACTGATTTATTCCTTTCTATAAGCCACATTAAGAAAATTGATATATTGAAAATTTTAGCCATCAAATTGCAACAGGTAGTACAAATAAAAAAAAAGTAATGGTAATGAAACGAACCTCACTAAAGCAAAAGAAATCCATCAAGCCCACAAGGCCACGTGCTTGATCACGACCAATGTGTCGTGTACCATATATCTCTTCTATCTCATTTCGACTAAGCTGTAACATAAAATATATGATGACCAAATAATCCATTTAGATATAAATCACAGAGCAATCAAATTTTTTTTTTTTTTAAAAAAGGCCAGATCATAGTTGTGAACTTATTATTGATTGTTAAATAGATGACTATAGTCTATTATGTTTGTGGTTTGCTTTCAGTGCTTGAGTTATTTGGATTAACTTCTTATGGACAAACACTGACAGAAAGAGGGAAATAGTGAGATAAAGCTTGCTATAATAGAAATAGGCGTACTTTCTAAAATACAGCACCTTTTATGAGAAGAGAAACATCTCTAACATTGCCTCACGGTCATACCACTGCCAACCATGTTCCAACAGAAATTTATTTTTATTACATTTATCTATTCATTTTTAGTGGTAGATCCATTATGGAGCTTAAAACCAACATTAGGAAGAATCTTCCAACATCCTTAAATAAAAATGTTCATGACTTCATGCCATGTATCTCCAGATGTTGTCTTAACTATGTTCCTCAAATAAACCTACTGATAGCAGTATCTATTATGTCAGAGTATCCACACTTAAAAAGGAAAAAAAAAAACTGAACTCATCCACTGAAGCACTATTAAATTTTCTGCTTTCCCAAGCATAAACTTATGGCTTATCAATAAAAAAATCTTGAGAACCATTGTAATAGACTAAAGAAAATGTCTTAAGGATCAGAAACTTAGCAGGAAATGTACATCATAAAAAATGTAAAGAATACCTTCCTACGACCAAAATAGCATCCATCTGGCTCAATTGAACCAAAGAAATCCAACTTCAACAAACAGCCTCTTTGCTTATCATAGTATAGTCCTCTGATAGGGAAAGTTGGATCATACTTAAATTGCATGCAAACTTCTGGATACTTAAACTGCAATTCCAACATAAATCAAGTACGTAACAGCAATTAGAAAACAGTACCACATAATGGATCAGTAATGTAAAAACATGACCACAAGCAGCCTAAACTAACCTCATTAACCATGTACTCCTTTGCAAGATCATATATCAAACTCTGCAAATCAGAAGAGTAGTGTGCCAAGGTGTAGTCATAGTCAAATCCATAAACTTGAATATTATCCAACCTCAGATTCTTAATGACATATATTCCTGTCAATAACAACCAATCAAGAGTTTTAGCAACGACGAAACTGCATTCAGCAAACACGTACACGCACAAATTAAAGACCAAGGACGAAAGGAGGCAAACCTTGAGGATTCATCTTAGGCCTTCCCTGGAGAGTCTCGGGAATCCTTAGAAAACTCCGTTTTGCATCATCAAACTCGCGCTGAATTTTTGCAATATCATCGTCAACAGCCAAATTTATTCCCTCAGCTCCCTTGCATTCCTCTTCCAACCTGGAAACTGTTTGCGCAGCCGGTGCGATTGCATGGTAGTCTCGAGAGCCTCTTCCGTAACCTGAATTCGAACAAATTATCAGCTTATTAGCAATTTAACGGAAGTTTTTGAGACACTTACACATAACCAGGTACACATGTATCATAGTTGATAATTAGCTCCATGAATTACCAGTAATGAACTATAATTATTTAACCAAATAGATTATTAATTATTCATTTCAGCGACAACTTCTTGCACATAGTGCACCAAAATCCGTGAGTTCATGTCTATGTAGCGTGGAGACGAAACGAACCTTCTTCAACTCCTCTAGGAGAGAAATGCGTCTTCTGAAATGAAGAAACATGTAACTGTAAGATCGTTGATGAACAAGATGAGCGACAACAGTACAAATTCACTAACACATATATACAGAGAAAGATACGTTGAGGTGAAAGCGGAGAAAAAGCAGCCTGCGAATGGAAGCCATGGCTACAGGAGTTTAGCTCTGCATACGATTCGATGTCTATACATTTGTTTCCTCGTTGGCTTTCGCGGGAGAAACGGAAAGGAAGCGTGACTAGCTAGGGTTTCCTGACAGCTGAGAAATCAGAGAAATGTGAAGTCTGGAAATATGAATTTTACTATTGCAGCCGCTGAGCCGCCAACGCTGGTTTTCACATTTGATTTTAATGCTTCCAGTTCAAATTTATAAATTCCACTACTACAACGAACGTCGCCGAAAAAAATATATATATATATATTATTATTATTTATTTACCAACGCAGACTTGGAGCTTCTGAGTTCTTACATCTTACATTGACTATTCTAAATTGTAATAATTTACCTTGTTATTTTATTTAATTTTTACATTATTTATTTTAACAATAAAAATTTCATTAGTTATGTATAATATTTTACAAATTTTAAAATTATTTTGTTTTTAAATTATAGATAAATAACAGTAATTATACGCGTGTGTGTGTATAGATAATATTTAAAATTAGTTAAAGAATAATTAAATTATGATATTTTGTGAATAAGCTGTTATTGGTTTAAATCATATATTGATTGTAAAATAAGTGTTTTTTTTTCTAAAAAGTATAAAAAATAATTTATTTATACAAATATTTTATGGTACATTATTATAAATATTTTTTTATTTTAATTTAGTAATTTAGATATTAGAAAAAATAATTTTTTAAATATTATAAGAAAATATTTGACGTGGACGAATCTCTTATAGTATATACTGTATAGGATATACGGAAATTGCTTTCACTGAAATAGAAAAATCGGTTAACAAAACAAATTAAAAATTGTCAAGGGAATGGGAAAAGTGTTGTTCTGTAAGGCGGCCTCCTCCCTCGTCTTCCTGGTTCCCTCTCTTTCTTCGGCTCAACTCAGATTTAACTCGGTCACTACCTGCTCAACCACACCGTCAAATCCTAGAGTTCATCGTATGGCCACCGAAGCTTCGTCATCATCTTCGCCTGCCACCAACGGTAACGCTATCAATCATCCTTCATCATCTGCAAATGACCGCGCGGCCCCTTCTTCTGCTTCCTCTGCTATTGATTTTCTCTCTCTCTGTCAGCGCCTAAAGGTATCGTAATGCTTTATATATATGCGTATACTGATCAAGTCGGAGTCCGTGTTTGTTGTTTATTATTTTAGAGCCTACCTGTTGGCTGCTGAGAAAATGTGAGAAAAGGAGGGTATGCAGTAACCAGATTAACCATTTTTTTTAGTAAATTTATTCTGCTTTTTTATGAATGTTAGTTGGCGGGTTGGCTTCCTCAATTGTTCGGAGCTTATTATCGTTGTCATCTGATAAATTTCGAACATTCACTTGCAATTTCTGATATTGTTCATTTGACGACGATATAAAATGGAAAATATAAACGATTTAATGGTTTTAATAATTATTAGATGCTAGAAATGAACTAATTTGAGTTAAATTTAATTGTCTTTGTAATTGATTCCTTCCAACTCTACTGTGGTTTGGCTCTAAACGAGTGCAGAATTTTCGTACCTTCTATTAGCAGCCAAACGGAGCAGAAGGCTCCTCCACCATTGTGCAGTACTTTTCGGTTTATCATTTGCAAAATTTCTTTTACTCTCTTTAATTTGTTTAGGTTGCACCGAAGTGGCAGAGTAGTTGATTTCATTTTGTTACCATTGTTTGGTATTTACGTGCTGAC